CTGGAGCGATAGCACAGCTGGTAGGGCGTTTGCCTTGCATGCAGCCAGCCCAGCCGAGCCGGGTTCAATTCCTCCGCCCCTCTCGGAGAGCCCGGCAAGCTACCGAGAGTATCTCACCTGCTTGGCAAAGCCTGGCAAGCTCCCCATGATGTATTTGATATGCCAAACACAGTAACAAGTCTCACAATGTTACTGGGCCCGCTTGATTAAATCGATGAACAAAGGGAGGACCATGACCGTGACCATATTTATAAATGATAAAAATTAAGGAAGGCTGTTGTAGGGAAAAAAGATGTTTGTGGAGGTAATAACAAAGTTCCATTTTATTTATTTTTTTAATTTAATTTTATTTCTATAAAGCAGTTCACAATATTTGAGTACATTTAATATTCAAACACCAATCCCATCATCATTACACCTTCCCACCACCATATTTCTGATGTTTCCATCCCGAACCCTAACTCCAGCCCCAAAGCAGAACCAAAATAATTTATTTTGTATTGATTATTATGAATACACCTCTGAAAATCATCCAAAAAAGTTCCTTAGACGAAAGTGTGTGAAGATTGTTGTATTTCAATCAGGAGTCATTAAACCCTTCTATAAGAGATTACTAACATGTTATTAAAGATTGACCCTTGTGTGCTTTTATATATTTATATATATCATGTTCTGTCCAGATGTTCTGTCCTCCCCTTGTTCATCAGTTTGCTCGAGTGGGCCCAGTAATGTGTCCATTTTGAAACTTGTTCTTACTGTGTTTTTGCATATTGAATACGTCACGGGTAGCTTACCAGGCTTTGCCGTGCAGGCGAAATACTGTCTGTAGCTTGCCAGGCTCTCCGAGAGGGCAGAGGAATTGAACCCGGCTCGGCTGGGCTGGCTGTGTGCAAGGCAAATGCCCTACTGCTGTGCTATCGCTCCAGCCTAATGTATATATAATATATAATATGTATGATATATATACATATATATCTGTAAAAATATATTTCTCATTAAGATTCGTTGCCTTATACTTTAAATCCCATCAAATATGGTACACTACTCTTGAAATATTAGCGGTATGAGGTGTGAGATGTTGTGTGGTCTAGGAATGTGTTCACTTCTGAATGAGGCTTGGCTGAGCTAGTGAAGAATGACCGTTGAGCATGGTGGCAGTTGAGTTCTGGAGGTTTTCAGCTGCTGGCGCTGGCTCCTAGGGTCAGGGTGGGGAACTCGCCCGTTCCACCTCTGGGTTGCCCTGAATGAAACAGCCTGGTGTTGGGTCCAGTGGCATAGCTATGGCGTGTCATTTTATGCTTTCTTCTGAAAGATTTATAATGAATCTCTGGATCATATTCATTGATGAGATTATATGATGTCAGCCAGAGGTGGCTTGGGGTGTGACTGCCAAGTTGCCAGAAACAGGGGGAGGTGGTGGTGGTGGGGGGGAGTTGAACCTGGAGTTTTGAGTCACCAGTCTCACATACCTGGGTTTTCTGCATATTCACTTGTGGGTGAGGCTTGACCTAAGTGAGTGGAGTGCAGAGAGCAGCCATGAACATGGCAACAGTTGAGTCCTGGAGGTTTTCGGCTGTCCGTGTTGACTCCTTGGGGCGGGGAGGGGCTTCACCCCTCCTATCCTGGTTGCCCTGAATGAAACAGCCTGGTGAGGAGTCCAGTGGCATGGCTATGGCATGTCGTTTTATGCTCTCTTTCAAGAGATTTATAATGACTCTAACATAGTTCCATTTTAGAACTAGTTAAGTTTAGTTCATATATTCAAATGGAAAATCAAGTAGGCACTTGACTATGTTATTGTGGAGTTTGGGGGGAGTATTGGTGGTTAGAGACATAAAATTTAAGTTAATCAGCATTCAGATGTTATTTAAAGCTATGAATCTGGGTAAGAATAATTAAAGTATTACTGTAAATGGAGAATTATTGAGGTGAAGATAGAATCCTGATAACTTGTGGTATTTTAGGTAGGAGGATGAGAATCAGTCAGAAGAATCTGAAAATTGTGGCCAGTGAGGTAGATGGAGATATGATCGAGTTATATTTTGGAAACCAAATAAGGAAAATTTTTAGAGAAGACACTAGTCAAATGTGTCTGATGTTAAGATTGAGTAACACTGAAGATTTTATTTTATTTTATTATTACCTGGGGGAGACATTTTTTGTTATACACAGTGATGCTCTGGTGTGGTTACTCCTGGCTCTCAACTCAGGAATCACACCTGGCAGTGCTCAGGGAACCACATGGGATGCCGAAGATGGAACCCAGGTTGTCCACATGCAAGGCAAATGCTCTATCTGCTGTACTATAGCTCTAGTCCCTGAAGATTTTAATAAACAGTTGCAATAAAGTGATAATAAAAAGAATTTTGAGATAAAAAGATTTGAGAATGAAAGAACTAGAATGCAGCATAAAAGACACAAGTTATGTGTAATCCTTTCAAATTTATATTTTTACCATTTTAGCTGAGGTATTTTGACTTATAGTACAGTTGATTATACTTTTCATGCATACCGTGTTTCAACACCACACCCGTCATCAGTGTTCACTTCCCTCTGTCAGTGTGATTTTAATTTGCATTTCCTTGATAAGGGATATAGAACATTTTTTCATATACCTATTGACTATCTGCATGTCTTCTTTGAGGGATGTTTTCTCATTTAGAATCTTTAACAGTCTTTATGTTATGTCATCTACAATGATAAATTTACTTTATAATTAGTATGCCTTCTGTATCTCTTCCTTTCCTAATTGTTCTGGCCAAGATTTCTAGTATAATATTGAGTAATAGTGGTGAGAATAGACAACATTTTTAATGCTTTATCATAGAGAAAATATTTGAGTGTCATGTTAGTGTTAATGTTTCTTGAATCTTCATTCAAAAATATTTGTCTGTATTTTTCTTTTCTTTTTTGGGGGGGTGTCTTCTTTTGGTGGGAGAATAATGGTGATCTAGAAATTATTCAAAGAATTTCCTTTTCTTCATTCTTATGAAGAGCTTGGGAAGAATAGGTAATTTTGAAAGTTTGTTAAAACTTAGTAGTAAAACCATAGAGCTGTGGAATTTTGTTTGGGGAAGACTTTTACCCCATTATCTTTGTTAACTTACCAGAATTACAGTGCATCAGTACTGTTAATTATCTTTTCACACATACATCATTTCATACCACACCCATTGCTGGAGTGCCCACTTTCTTCTGCCCAGTATTCCTTCAGTGTTTTTCTGGACCCCGCATACAGGTCCCTCCCAGCTCAGTTTTTTAGGCAAAATCTCCAGTTGCAATGACTTTGGCCATTTGCTGTTCCCTTATGTTTCTTTATATCCCAAATACAAGAGAGGTCTTTAAAATACATTATTGTGGAGGTTGTTATACTATACACATAAAATTGAATAAAGGTAAACTGGAAATTACACAAAATTTAAATGATAAATCAATAAAAGTATTTTAAGAACTATATATTTATAGATTTATAAATTTAAAAATTAGTAGTATGAGTAATTCCATGTAATGCATTAAAATTTATATGAACTAGATAAATCTGACAGTACAGAATTTGGTGTGAGAGTATAAAAAATTAAGGGGAAATATAGATGGGTCTATAAAAATATAAAACGATTTTATTAGTTTTATGTTAGAAAATATAGTTTTATAATTATTAAGTATAGGAAAATAAGTAAAATATTGCAATAAAATAACTATGGATATAAAAAAATCACCCAAATGATGTAGAGCATTCAATATGAATGCTAATGAAACATTAATTCACTATTAAAAATATTAAATTACTTAGCAAACTAGGAGTAAACAGATCTTTCTTACTCTAACAGAGTGCCACGAGTGAATGCCATACTCAATGGCAAAGTGCTTTTCCTGCAGGGGGGAAAAAAGAGGATCGCAGCGTATGCTCTAGTGGTTGCTGTCATTACAGGTCCTGAGTAGTTAGTTCAGAGCACTGGCTTTGAACTACCTGGCCAAATTGGCTGAGTGTTACCAAGAATTGCCCATGGGTCCTCTGAACACTGCTTGGGAGGCCTGCCCTTGCAAGAGAAATGAACGGAAAAAAACTTAAGCCTTTCCTAAAGAGTCTGTTTTTTAAAAATTTTATTTTATTTATTTGTGCTTTTCGGGTCACACCTGATGATGCTCAGGGGTTACTTCTGGTTCTGTACTCACAACCAGGCATATCACTCCTGGCATTATTCAGGGAACCATAGAGGATGCTGGGGATCGAACCTAGGTCTGCCATTTGCAAGCAAATGCTCTACCCACTGTTCTGTCGCTCTGGCCCCAAAAATGTTTGTCTTAGGACAGTATTTCTGAAAGTAAAAATTGAGATTTGACACAGTATCACTGTCACTGTCAGTGTCACTGTCCTCCCATTGTTCATCGATTTGCTTGAGTGGGCCCAGTAACATTGTCAGACTTGTTACTGTGTTTGGCATATTGAATATGTCATGAGTAGTTTGCCAGACTTTGCCGTGCGGGCGAGATACTCTCCATAGCTTGCCAGGCTTTCCGAGAGGGGCAGAGGAATCAAACTTGAATCGGCTGTGTTGGCCATGCGCAAGACAGACGCCCTACCCGCTGTGTAATCGCTCTAGCCCATAGTATAAGTAAAATAAAGTTTTTACCTTAATCAGTTCAATTTTACTGTTGTGGTATATCTTTGTAAAAGAACTTTCAAATCAGTTAAATGTCCCTATCTAAATCAACATGAGGAGCTGGAGAGACAGTATGTAGAGATAGTAAGGCACTGGCCTTATACTCAGTTGTCTTGGGTTTGATTCTTGGCATCCCATATGGTCTCTGGAGTGCTGCCAAGGGTGATTCATGAATTTAGAGCCAGGAGTAACACTTGAGCATTGACAGGTGTGGCCCCAAAATAACAACAAAAAATTACCACGAATTTGAAATTTTATTTAAATATGGTGAAAATGGTAGCAGAGTGTATTCTAGTGTTTTCTTCAAAGATAACATAACTGTTGTGGTTCTGCTTCTAGGCAGTATGAAACTGTGGTCCCACTTGAAGATTGTATTGTGACTGAAGTTACTACAACTCTACAAGAATGGGCCAGTCTATGGAAACAGCTTTATGTGGTAAGTAGTTGACAGTTAGTTTACTAGTGTTTTAAAGTTTTAATGTACCAAGTGGAAAAAGTGTTCTAACCAATGTTGTTTTTAGGCCTGTATTACAGTTTTTTTAATATGTGTTCCTGATATTAATTGAAACATACATTGACTTTTGTCCACCTTAAAGAAAAAATATTCGTTACGTGCTTGCAGTTTCTTCTACTTATTCCTGTCAGTAGAAAGCAAATGAGTTTAGCTATCTCGCTCATCCATGTACCCTCATATTTTAAAAAAAAAACAGGTATTTTCTTAATGATTGTGCAAACAAATTGTGTGGTGTTTGAATTATGTCCATGAGAAACCATTATTAATAGTATTGTAAACCAAAAAAATAATAAAATTGTTTTTAAAAACATGCTATCTTTTGTTTACTAGACAGGGAGGCGGAATTAACTAGGGATCCGTTCATTGGATTGTGGTGAAGGGACATTGATACTTTGGTGATGGTTGTCATATGGTAACAGATACCTTGAATAAATATTAAATTGTATTAAAAGCACATACAATGTAAATTAATGTTCTCTCAAAATAAAAAAGGAAACAATACAAAGATTCTGGAACCATGTAGAGGAAATAGGTTGACATACATGGACTGTGAACAACACCTAACCCCTTTTCATTCTCAGTGAAAAATAATACTCTTATGGAATATGAGGAGTTTGACTGTTGGCTTTTCTCTTTAGAGTTTCTTTAACATTAAAGGTACCATTTTAAAATAAAACTGTTTTTTGAAACAAAACAATTTGTATATTCTTTCTCAAGTCTTACCTCAAGACTTTCAGTTCTTAGAAAGTGATTTAAATTCAGGATAGGTGATACCATTTTAACTATGATACCATAAAACAAATATAATAAAAACTATAAAATAATGAAAGACGAGAGCTGTCAGTACCCATGCAGGTATTTAAAAATGAAGGGGGGCGGGGTAGAGTGGTAGGTATGGTAAGCTTGGAATAAATTGAAATCTTGCATAGCTTTAATAACTTAGTGTGAGGGATTGTAAGGGAACTAGGAATTGGTATCCTCACGTCAGAGGATTTGACGCACTTTATTATGGATTTGTTGCCTATAATTTAAACTGAAATAAGCCACGTCTTTAGTGATTACGGAAAGAAAATGGACAGAGTAGTGAGAGAGATTAGTAGAGTCATCTTTTTAGTTATGATGTAGTAAGTCTTATATATACTTATAGAGTGTGAAGACAAACCTTGACATTCTGTAATACTGCAAAACAGTGAAAAATTAATAGTAAACTGTAAATTATAAAGTAATGTTTTATTCAGAAAAAAAATCTGTTCATTGGTAAAGGCCAATAAGTTATAACACCTTTTCTTTGTGGGCATGGGAATGCTAGAGATTGAACCAGAGCCTCAGTGTGTGACACATGTGCTCTGTCACTGAGCTATATCCCTGCTCTTTCAGCAATTCTTAATAACAGTTATGAAAGCTTAAAGAACATGTCAAATAGGACAGAGAGATAGTATAGTGGGTAAGGTGTTTGCCTTACATGTGATTGATCTGTTATTCATTCCTGGAACCACATATGAATCCTGAGCACCTCTAGGAGTGACTCCTGAGCATGAGTAAGCCCTGAACATTGCCTGGTGTGGCCCAAAATATGAAAAAGAAAAGAAAACAAAGGAAAATATGTCATTTACAACAGTTTTTACTAGTCCAGTGATTAACAAAGTTTAAGAAAACAAATCATTCTATATTCTCAATACATACGGAGAATGATAGGACACATAAAATCTAGACTAAGTCACAGGATTTGGATTTTGGTCAAAATGGAGTAAACACATTCTGTTTTATTCCTCCTACTAATAGCAACAAATATCCTGGACAAAAAATATAAATCACCTACCAGAAAACTGAAAGTTAGGGAAAAGAAGATGGACTGACTAGGGACCTTGGGACTCAAGGATTGAGTAAGTTAATGGATTGTTGTTTTTATTATCTTGCCTCCCAAATGTCTTTCCCTGGGTACTGGAGAAGCTGGAATCCCCACAACCTGGAAATGCTAGTGGGTGCAGAAAAAAAAATAATTCTAAGTAAAGCCTGTTGTTTTGAGCCAAAGCACAACCCAGCAAGACAGAAACTATTCAAACTGTTCCTGATTCTTCTCTAGGAGATATCATGATTAAAGATGTGCACTTCTGTACCCTAGTGGACATTGTATTAATAGAATGCCAAAGTTTTCATTATATCATAATTAGAGTTACATCTGTACACATAAACTCTATACCCAATGCACCTGTGGTAACAGGAATATGTTTTTCCACGCTGGAGCTTGTTTGATGATCTCTGAATTTTATCTCCAAATCTCTCAAATTTAATGAAGTTCATCTCGTCGATACAGTGGAAAACACTCTGATTTTCAAAACACTCTGATTTTCACACTACCTGCAGATGCAAGGTGGCTCTACCCAGCAAAGTCTGTGTGTTGAACTATGGCTTTCATAACTATGTAGAATTAAGAAAGTGTTGCCCTTATCCTGAAGAGTTCTCTGGACAAAATCCTTGAAGTAAGAAAGAAGAATCCATATCCAGGGGAGTCTGTTTTTAGAGGTTTTGATTTCCAGTAATAAAATTACCCTGCTCAGCTGAGTTTTTTGGCAGGACCCTGACTTCTACATATTTCCCACCCCATTATTGAGGCAGTTCTCATTTCTGGAACATCTTGTGGATAGAACCTTATGTTTCATCTTTGCCCTGCTGAAATGAAACAATTCTTTTTCCACTTATATTCAATCTGAAGATAAAGTGAAGTTCTGTTACTTAGGTAAGACAAAGATGGGGAAACCAGAAAAAACAATTTTAAAACTAAATTCACTTTTGAATAATAGCCCACATAAAGTAAAGTAAGTAAAGTAAAGACCCTCCCGTTGATCGTCGATTTGCTCGAGCGGGCCCAGTAACGTCTCCATTGGAGACTTTGTTGTTACTGTGTCTGGCATATCGAATACTCTCGGTAGCTTGCCGGGCTCTCCGAGAGGGGCGGAGGAATCGAACTTGGGTTGGCCATGTTGGCCGCGTGTAAGGCGAACGCCCTACCCGCTGTGCTATCGCTCCAGCCCTATATAAATAAGCCTGGAATTTAATTTTGAATCTATATAGGTAGATTATTTGCAAAATACTTGGAATGAGTGGCATACAGCCTAAATTTTTTATTATAATTAGTAAAGCCTCAACATAAATCAGGAAAGACAATAAATAGATACCAAATTTGAAATGATACTATGATTCTTAAAAAAGTATTTTTAATTAGAATTTATGTACTTGTTTTTGCCTTTTGAGTTATACCCAGTGATGCTCAGGGGTTACTCCTGGCTCTGTGATCAGGAATTACTCCTGGCAGTGTTTAGAGGACCATGTGGATTGCTGGGGATTGAACCCTATGCAAGGCAAATGCCCTACCCAATGTACTATGGCTCCAGCCCCTATAAAATTTTTTCAAAGAGCAATTGTGTTGTAAAGAAATGTAAACATAGGAAACTATTGCAAAGATTAATCCTAATAATGAAGAGAAGGTAATCTGGTAAAGTAAGTGTTAGGTGATGGAGAGATAGTATAGAGGTTCAGACACTTGTCTTGTATGTGACTTTTATCTGTGACAGTGGTTTGAATCTCAGCACTACGTATGGAAGTGCTTCCTGTGTACTACATATGGAAATACTTATATGGATGTACTAGAGGTGCTTCCTGAGCTCAGACCCAGAAGTGGCCTCTGAGCACTGACAGGTGTTTCCCCTTGCCTGAGAAAAAGGAAAAGTAAGCTTCGGTTCAAAGGACTGTGGGGCAGTAGCCAAAGACCTTACATTTGTGGCATTATATACTAGAGAAAACAAAATGTGGAGCCAATGAAACATTTAAAGAAATAATGCCTTAAGTATCTCAAAATTTTGCAAGATAATTAAATGCTTAACTATGGATTAAATAAGTCGAATTAGTTTTAAACAGAAAAAAAAAGAAATCCACACTCAGAAATATCTGAACTTTGGAAAATTAAGGCCTGTGGTAAGGATATGGCTATTTAAATGACAGCAGAATTCCCATCAGAAACTATAGAAAACTGAAAGAAATGGCACAAATTTTTTTTTCAGCAACTTAAAATATAAACACCTCATGTTATTGAAGAATTTCGCATCAATGAAAAACAAACTTCATAAATAAAGGAGATGTGAACCCATTTCTGATCATAGAAAACTTAATATTTCATTACCAACAGATTGCTTAAAAAATAAATGATTTATAGGAAGTTCATCGGATACAAAGACATAGTTAATGGGAAGGACACATGGACATTAGGAATGAAGAAACAATGAAACAAGTACATGTTTTTGTTTTCTTGTGGCCTCCCAAGCAGTGCTCAGGAGTCCCAGTAGCCTCTTTAGTGGCCCCTTTAGTGCTCAGACCCTTTGGTGTAGCAGGTTATCCAGGCCAGCCATGTGGTGCTTAGGGACTTTCAGAACTACACAGAGAGATGCTTGAAGCCAGGTCAATTAGGTTATGCATCCTAACTACTGTGTTACCTTTAAATCCTGAGGTACTATGTTTTTGTTCTAGTACCATACTGTTTTAATTATTACTGCTTTGTAGTAGTTTGAAGTTGGGAAAACTAATGCCTCCTGTCTTCTTTTTTCCAAGGATTGCGTTGGCTATTCAGAGGGGTTACTGTTCAATATGAAATTCAGGGGTATTTGATTTATTTGGAAAATGTCATGGGTATCCTTATAGGAACTGCATTGAATTTGTATAATGCTTTGAGGAGTATTGCCATTTTGATGATGTTAATCCTTCCAATCCATGAGCAGGGCATATATTTTTATTTCCTCATGTCTTTTTTTAAGAAGTATTTTGTAGATTTCTTTGTATAGGTCTTTTACCTCATTAGTTAAGCCAATTCCTAGTACTTGATTTTCTGAGGAACAATTGTAAATGGGATTGACTTTCTAATATCTATTTCT